TCTTTGGTCTATATAAGCATGATGCTTGTGCAACTCATTCTAGTTCAAAGTACTTTTTAAAGTTAATAATAATAGCTAGCATTCATAGTTTTAAAGTTTGCAAAATACTTTAAATATGTTAACTCATTTGATTCTCACAGTAACCCTATAGGTAGGTGCTTTATTATCTCCATTTCACAGATGAGGAAACTGAGTTAGTGAAAGCTTAAGTGACTTGTCCAGCGTCATTCAGCTAGGAGCGTCAGAGGCTTGATTCAAACTCAGATTTTCTGGACTCCAAATCTTGAACTCTGTCCTCTAGGCCACCTAGTACCCTCTAAGTTTGAGGCCTATGATTGAATTGTTTGGGCCCCTCATCACTTACTCTAAATGGGGTGGAGTTGAGGGTAAATCAGCCCCACCCTTATGGTGGTAAGAGCCAGCCAGCACTGCTTCATTAAAAAAGGAAGCATGCCAGACTAGCCTCATTTCCTATTTTGATAAGATGAGTAGACTTATTGGTCAAATGAATACTACAGATATAGGTAGAATATATAGGTATTAAACAAAGGATTTGACAGGATCTTTCATGTTATCATTGTGAACAGAATAGAGGGGTAAGGCCAGATGATAGTACAGAGATATTCAGAATTGGTTCAATGAACAGACTCAAAATATAGTCATTAATGGGTCAGTGACAACTTGGGGTCTATGTTGTTTAAAATGTTTATTGTTAACTTGGATAAAGCATTGGCAGAGGCTTATTAAATTTGGATGAAGGGGTCAGTTTCTAAACAGATCTTAACATAGTTGGAAAGATAGCCAAATTTATTGAAATGAAATTTAATAGAGATAAATATAAAAACAAGAGTACCAGAAAATATCAATTTTACAAGTACTAGGTAAGACATAGCCAAATAACAAATTGTTTGAAAATGTTTTGGGGGTTGTAGTGAACCATAAGCATAATATAAGTGGTCAGTGTGATTCGGCAGCTAAAAAATCTAGTGTGAACTTAGATCCCATCAAGAGAGGTGTAGTGTCCAAAACAAGCAAGATAGTAATATCATTGCATTCTGGCCCAGTCAGACCACATTTGGATTACTGGGTTCAGTTTTGAGTGCTATGTATTAGGAAGGACATTGACAAACTGGAGAGCATCCTAGAGGATGATCAAGATGGTGAGAGGCCTAGAAACCATTCAGTGTGAGAACTGGGAGAAATAGAAAGGCATAGCAAAGATACAGGAAAGACATGACAGCTGTCTTTAAGTATTTGAAGGGTCATCATGCGGAAGACAGTCTAGACAGTGGTCAGGACAAGGATCAATAGGTAAAAGTTTCAGAGAGGCACATTTAGGCAAGTCATAAGGAATCTGATGCTTTGGGAGGTAGTGAGTAGTAGCCCTTACTGGAGGGCTTCAAGCATAGACTAGGTGACCATTAGTTGGAGATGTTACGGCTACAATTACTGTGGACCCTTTCAGCACTAAGATTTTAAAATGCATGTTCAATTGAATTGAATTTTTCAGATGTGACATTCTGTGTAAGGGTTCATTAGTTAATTGCCTGTAAAAAGTGGAGCTTTTATTTAGATCACAGGGAAATTTCAAGGATAAATTTGAAAATGTCTATAAAATGCCATGTATCCCATAGGGATAAGAACTTAATGAAAGTGGGTCGACATTATTTTGTATTTCTCAAGATAAGTTAAAAGAGAAGACTTTAGGTTCATTTTGTGAATTAAAAATGTGCATCGGGATTTAACAAAGAAATTAAATTTCTTGGAGAAATCTTATTAGACAAAGAAAACTGCTGCTAATATATACTTGTAAAACGAAGAGATGATATAAAAGATCTTGCTATACCAACTTCATTTCTTTGGGGGGGAGGGGGAAAGGTTAACTCCATCAAGCTTCCAGTAACCATGAGCAGCATTTTGATCACAGGCAAACAATAGCAAGGGAAGCTTCTCAGTAGGAAGATTGAAGGCTTTAAGCTTGGCAGTGGGTTGTGTTAACTGCATACTCAGTGAATGGTCAGGCTTGAATCCCCAGTTGCAGACTCGACTTCTACCCTTCTCCAACAGTAGAGGGTGATGTGAGATTCTTCAGCAACATGGGGGATATGAGAAAGTTTTAGAGGAAGATTCCTGTTTACTGTAGTATTAAAAAAGACTCTTTTGGCTCACAAAAGGTAGTTCTTTTCACCCCCTGATCCAAATAAGAATACTCTTAGGGATTTTCAAGCTTTCTTCTAAGCCTGAGCTTGAGAACATTGAAAACAAGGTGGTTACTGTGATATGTCATCAGAATGCAGTGCTATTGGCGAGGCAGTGGGAGTGGAGTGAAGCCAGCAGCAAAATGAGTGTCAAAGAACCTAACTTCTTTTCCAGGAGTTGGTGTAGTCATTTAACCTCACCAGGCCTCAGTTTTCTCGTCTGTAAAGTAAGGGGAGAAGACTATATGATCTCCTTCATCTCTTCCAGTTCTAAAGTGCTATGACTGTATGTTTACCAGCAGACTATGCAGATTACCTGACTTATTGTCCCCACTCAGGTATAACCTAGAAACTTCAGTATCTGGGACTCCCCTAAAGGCAGCCACCAGCTCCCCTTATAAGTGCTCAGGCTTACAAGGCTTCAAAATATATAACATTTTAATTTACAAACTAAAGGATACAGAGAGGATCTATGTCCAAATCCATGGGTTAGAGACCCCTTAACTTCTCTGATGGGCTACCTTTCTGAAAGGATCTGTTTTCCCTCCTTGACTTATACTACTGTCCTGGATAGAGTTCCAGTAAGGGGGGAGCTGGAGTTTGTTTTTCCGCATTGATGATGTGTGCTGTCGATGCGTTTTTTTTTTTTACAGTTCTCCTTTGAACCACTTTTCCTTGTGCAGGCCTCCATTGTTATTTTGTCATTTTTCCTTCAATCCTGAAAGGTATCCTGGTCCTTTTATTACATACTTATTTATGTACATATGACCTCCTTTGTGGATTGTGAGCTCCTTGAGGACAGCCTAGGACAATGCCTTAGGTTCAGTAAATGTTGATTGAATGAATGACTGTGGCTTTTCTTAATTTTTTTCTCATAACTGCCTTGCTTTATTTTGTTATTTCTTTTAGCCAGATATTAAGGAGCTCAAGTCTTGCTCTTGTCTTTTTTTTCTCTTTTTATTTGTTCTGAAGGACGGCTCTACCTCAGAGTCATGTTCTTCATAGCTGCACCCTTGTTGCTCTTAGCACCACATTGCATATCTGGCCTAAAACCCAAGGCTCAGTCAGGTGGCCTTCTAAGGCAGCTTTTGTTCTGTCACCAAGTAGTGCGCATTCTGCCTCAGGATTCTGAACTTGACTCACTTCGGGAATGTGTTTTTGTTCTGCCACTTTCCATTCTCCTAGACCAGCTCGTCCTCTCCTTTTTTCAAGGTTCATTCTACAATTATTATTTAAACTCTGTAATCTGCTTTTCATCTGCCGGTGAATGGTTTTATGGTTCAGCTCAGGTCTCATTATACAACAGGAAGAAACAAAGAGACAATATCACTGTTGATTGCTTTCCGTGAAGTGTTTCATTGCCCCTTAGTAATTGACAGCTTTATTTTGTGAAGCACTCTATTTAGATAGACTGATTTCATTTAGGAAAATGTGTCTTTTAAATCACTTGCCCTATACCTGGCCTTCAAAAGTGTTTTTTTAAAAGTTCCAGAAGCATACTTGGATTTTTATCTTAGATTTGTGTTGTAGAAACTGTTTTTAAAAGAGTGAAAGAGAATGGAGTCCTCTTTTCTAATATATAAGGTTAAGAGCTATTTATTTTCAGTTTTTCTTTTGTCTTCCTCTACTGAGGTTCTGGGAGATTGATGTCTTCTTTATCGTAAAGACATCTGAAAGAATGAATCCAAAAGGAGCCCTTGCCACTTGGCCTCTTCTCAACACTGTGATTAAATATTCTCAAACCGTGGTCTATAAGTATGAGCTATTTTAATTGACAGGAGTTTTTAAGGTCAACATTTGTTAGTCACAAATAGTAAACTTGAAACACAGAGTCCTGTTGAGCAAGGGAAAAGTGACTTAGAACAAGTAGATCTGTACAGCAGTCACTGTGCATTTCTGCCTTCCCGCATGAAGCGCAAAGAAGAAAATGTCTCAGGTGAAAAATAAGATTTCTACTCTTTGATTCTTCTTTAAGCCGGATACTTCTGTTAACATTTCTCCATTGTCATGTAAGGCACATTGTATTTGATTCCTTGTGACATCCTGTTTACACTCTAAAGGGAGGATGGTTTTAGCTGAATTCTTTGCCACCTTTCTCTCTCACAATCAGACTGATACAAATGGTTTTTGACAGGGGCTCAATAGTGCTTATGCTACTTCCATCTCTTCCATCTTCATTACTCTCATTTCCTTTTAAGTCTGCTCAAGATAGAGGAATTGTGAGGAGACCAATTAAGACTGCCTTCAACCTTTGAAGCTTTTGTGTATCTCCTTTGTGTGCATCTTATTGCCCTGGCTTTAGCATCTGTAGAATGTGGAGGCTGAGCGAGATGACAGCATTCTTCTGGGGTCCTGAAGTTCTCTGGTTCTCTGTCTTTTCCCCAAGGGGACCAGAAACTATCCAGTAGCAAAGTTAATTTTTTTGAAGAGGGAATTTTGCCATGACTGTGAATCTTTCGTACTGATGTGTTTCCGTCAGAGTATTAGATGGAGGGAAGAAATGCTTTGGAAGCCTTCTATCTCAGTGAGAGAGGAGAGATCTGACCTTACAGCGTCATTTTTAGAGGACTAAACTAAAGCTCAGAGAGGATGACTTAGTTCAGGCTGGAGGATTCCTGATTTCTGATTCTGATTTTTAATTCCTCTGCCCGTTTTGGCTTTCATTGTATTTAAACAGGGAAAAACATTCCTTCTTGTTTTCTAAAAAGTTACTATGTGGACTCTATAGTCTTTTAAATCGTTGATCTTCAAGATTACAAAGAGCTGTTTCTTGTTAACAATTCAAATTTTATTGGTTTTTAGTTCTGAGAGGAGGTCCCCTCACTGGAACCTACAGGCTACGACAATTTCATCTTCATTGGGGCTCCACTGATGATCAGGGCTCTGAGCATGCAGTAGATGGAAGGAAATATGCAGCAGAGGTAAGACATCTGAATATATATTCAGGGCTGATATAGAGAGGGTATTTACCTATTTGCTATGACTTGATGGGTAACTAAGAAGAGTTTCTTGCCCAACCCAGGTGCCAAGGGGCCTTAAATTCCAGTATTCTTACTTTTGGGTTAGGTAGCACCCTCTCCAGAAACTTAAAGGCATAAACATTGGCAAGGAGAAGACAAAGTTATTCCTATTTTAGAGGACATAATGCTTTAGAAAACTCTGGACGATGAGTTATGGTTAATAACTTCAGTAAAGTAGCAGGATGCAAAAATAAATATACAAAAATCTTCAGCATCACTATGCAGTGTTTACAAAAATTTAGAGGAAAATTTAGAGAAATTCCATTCAAAATAATACAAAATGCACAATTTAAAACATTTAGGATTTACCCTAACAAGACATGTGCAGGACTTGTATAAGTAAAGCTACAAAATATTCTTTATAAAAATTAAGGAAGACGTAAGTAATTGAGAATATTTATTGTTCATTGTTAATCTGGGTCAATATAATAAAATGATGATACTACTTAAATTAGTTCATAGACTTAGTAACAATCAAATTTTCTAGGGGTTACTTTATGGAACTAGATAAAATAATAAAGTATGTTAGGAAGAACAAAATTACTAGGATCACAAAAGAAATAATAATAATAAAAGGAATGAAAGGGACCTAATATTATCAGATTTTAAACTATACTATAAAGCAGTTAGATAAAAGCTATCTATAGGTTAAAAAAATACAAAAATAGATCAGACTAGTGTCAGCTGAACCAAACCTCTTGGCTTGCGAAGGCTGGAGCTGAATGGACAGAGCAGGCAGGAGCAACTGTGCAGAGACTAAGACAGAAGTTTATTTTCAACAGTGAGGGAAATAGCTGGCAAGCATGGAGGGAAGTTAGACTCATGCTCTAGGCCCCCTCACCCACAGTGGGAGACCATGCCTTAGTTTGGGCAGATTTCAATACTTAATCCAATGGCTGCACAGGGAGCTTGTAGCCCTGACAACGAGGGATAACAGCAATAATGAGACAAGTTTGATTCATAGCAGGTCTTCATGACCAGACTGCAGGTACTTGTCCAGGCTCAGGGAGCACCTGGTGCTGGTCAAAGCAATACAATAATTATGTGAAATAATCCTGGGATTTTGCTGTGGCTGAGATCATCCAGAGGGTGAGAGCAAAGGATTGTTGTTATGCCAAGCTCAGGCCACTGCTTGCTTGCTGGGCCTTAGCTCTGGAAAATAGGGTGTCTCCTAATAGTGTCTTGACACTGGATAGGCAGTCAGTCAGCAAGCCTTCACTAAGTTCTTAATATGTACTAGACACTGTGCTAAGTGTAGGGATACAAAAAAAGGCACAAGCAGAGGAGCACAGTAGCCCAGTGTTAGGTAAACTCTGTTGGAAAAATTGAATAAAAATAAAAAAAGTTTAAATCAGTATTTTATACCATATATCATAGTAAATGCCAAATAGATTAGTGACTTAAATGTAAAAGCCTATATACATACACAACATTTGAGGACAATCACTGTTTCCAGCTTAGATTGGGGGATGGGAATTTATAACCAAACAATAAAAAGAGGCCATCATAAAAGAAGAAAAAAAATTTACCTGGAATAGAAGAAAAACGTTGAGTGTGGGAAAAAAAAATCTTTGCCTCATCTATCTCTGGAACAAACTAATGCTGGTATAAATATAAATATATATATATATATATATATATATTATATATATACATATATATAATATATATAAATATATATGTACACACACACATACATATATATAAAATAAACACACACACACACACACACACATATTCATGTCCTGACTCATTCTGACCCTGTGACAAACATGGAAATGATCATAGCTCCTAACTGGACAGTAGCAACTGGCCTACAGAAGCAGCTGTGGCGGAAGACCCAAGGGTCCCCAAATACCAACTCAAACCCTCACCCAATTTCTGGCCCTCCTTAGGAAACCCATATCTGGTATCAGTAAGTAACCCTGGGAATTTCTCCACCACATCTGGGTCTTATTTAGCAATACTCCTTCCCATATCTGGCATTGATTAACCTATTCTCTACCAAATCCATATTTAAAGTACAAAACTTCCTCAGACCCTACTCCTACTGTGTACTGTCACTCAAATCTTTGATACCATACACATCTCTTTTTCTTAAGTGAGTGACTCTGGCTCTGTGTGTGTGGCTTAATCTTTGTATTACTGGAGAGAGAGAGAGAGAGAGAGAGAGAGAGAGAGAGAGAGAGAGAGTGTGTGTGTGTGTGTGTGTGTGTGTGTGTGTGTGTGTGTATGCTTTGATTTTGCCTGCTTGCTGCATCTCTTATTAGTAAGTCTCATGCTTATAATAGCTTCCAAAGTACCAGTTTCCTATAAATCCTCAAGCCTGAGTCTTTGCTCTAACCTGAGCCATGAGGTGAAATATAACATATGTATATATGCTTATTCAATGCTTAATAGCTGCCAAACTCAGATTGACTAGTCTTGGTGCTAGAGGACAGATGATGAATCACACTTAACTCTTCTCAGTAGAGAGGTGGAAGGCAGTGAGTGGGGAATGTTACACATGTGGTCAGACATGGTTGCTGTGTTTGGTTTAGCCTAATACTTTTTCTTTATTACATGAAAAGGTTCATTTTAGGGATGGATAGATATTATGTTGAAAAATGCTTGACTGAAAAAGATATCAGTAAAACTTAAAGTGCTACCTTTTATTGGGCAGTCTATAAAAAAATACAATGCAGATGTTCATAGAAGGGGTAATATGTTAACATGAGCTAGTTTGTTTTCCTGTGTCACAGGAGGAACTAGGGCAGCTTAAAAGTCCTTACTAGAGTATCTAAAGAGAGGAGAAAGAGGACACCAAAACCAAACCTGATTTTTGTTTTGTTTAGGGCTGGTCTTATCCATAGTTAACACAGGCGTTAAGGTATAGTAAGACACTGTAACCACTGCAAATTAAATATGTGCTATCAAAAATGAAGTTCCATCTCTTAGAAAAGTGTGAATTCTCCTGTACTACACATTCATTATACCTTTACAAGTATAACTTGAAATCCAGGTTCATTCAATTAGAAATATTGATGAAATTATGTCATAATCTTTCAGGGATATATTTCCTACCTTCCAGAAAGTTCTGACAATTACTCCTTTTACTATAATTATGTGTATATAGATATATGTGTGTGTATATGTGTGTGTGTATGTATATATGCATTATTTATTAATTTTAATAGTTTTAAATTTAATAGTTTTAAATTAAATTAAATTAAATTAAAATTTAATTTAATTTAATTTAATAGTTTTATTTTTTCCAGACCTCCAGTTGGGGATGTGTATATGTGACAAGAAAGATTGCTTTAGTTTGTAGTAGCAAATGCTTATAGTGCTGAAATTGATTAGAAAAAGGCGGAAAAGTTGTATGACACATATAGAATCTGTCCAAATGAAAATAAATTAACTGGAGTACAATCCAGGCAAGATAGAACTGGTACCATGAACCAAAGATAAATTTTCCTTATTTCCTTTTAGTTCTATGGAAGTCATTGTATATTAACATCTACTCATGATCATGAGTGGTTCTGAATACCTTTCCTTTTAAAAATATTTTTTCTCCTGTAAATTGTGGTCTGCTCTTTAAAGAAAAACAAAAAAGCCATTTACATAGCACATTTAAGTTTTTAAAAATCTTACTTTATTGATTTTTCATTTTTAAATCACCATCATTTCAGAATATAATTCTTGCTAGCCTTTATAACAAAGATGAAAAAGAAATATGGAAGAAAGCAATGCAGCAAAACTAATCAGTCCATCATTCATTATAGTAGATATAATATTCCACTCCCATGGTGCCCCACTGTAAAGAGGGGGAAGAGGTATGTTTTCTTACCACTACTCCAGAGCTTGGTCATTATGCTTCAGTGTTCACTTTTTTTCCTTTTTGTTTACATTGTCATACTCGGTATATATAATATTTTCCTTGTTCTCTTCACTTCATTGTATCACTGAGTATAGGGCTTTCCTTGCTTTCATCTGAATTCTTCATGTTTATAATTTCTTATAATGCAGTAATATTTCATTTCATTTATGTTCCAAAATATGTTGGTTTTTGCCCAGTCAATAGGTATCTACTTTGCTATCTCCCCAAAAAGTGCTACTATGAATATTTTGGTGTATATGGGACCCTTCTTTCTGTCTTTGACTTTCTTGAGTATACCTACCAATGTCAGAGAGTGTGAATGTTTTTGTTACTTTTTTGGAACCGTTACAAATTCCCTTTCAGAATTGCTGGACCAATGCTTGCAATATTGAGTATCTCATTTGAAACTCATGACACTTCTGTGAGGTAAGCATCATAGGTTATTAGTATCACCATTCTACATATAAGGAAATTGGGGTTCAAAGAAGACTTCATCCTACTGTCAGGATTCAGAAGCATTAGCATGGCTATCTGGATCTTAGCATTTTACCTTACAAATTTCTAATTAATTAGCTACTAATTCGGTTTTTAAAATAAATTTATTGATTGATATCTTTTGTTTTCACATGACCTACATTTCCCAATGTATCCTTCCCCATTTCCCTAGCCTTATAACAAAGAAGAAAAAAGAAAAAAAAGTTAAAGAAAACTAACAACACATTGAAAAAGTCTGGCATTATATATAATGTTGCACACCCATAGTCTGCTGCCTTTGCAAAGAAGCAGAGGAGATTATCTTTTCATATCTCTTCTTTGGAGCCCAGCTTGGTCATAATGATTTCAAAGCATTCATTATTGATTGTATTGTTCTTTACATTTACATTGTTGGAGTTATTGTATGTTTTTTTCTTGGTTTCACTTACTTTACTCTGGATCAGTTCATATAAATCTTCCTATGCTTCTCAATATTCATCTTATTAATAATTTCTTACAGCATAGTAGTATTTCATTACATTCATATACTGCAACTTGCTTAGCACAT